TTCAGTCACACATTCACCTTTCCTTCTAGATTGTTAGGTAAAATGGTCAGTAGGAATTGTCAGTAGAGGGAGGGAGAGAGGCTCCTGTACAAGTGATCTTGTACAACCTGAGTGAGGGAGATGCTAAGTGGGTACAGCACTACTCCACTGATTCTTCTGTGTAGCCCTTGGGTAAAAAGATTGGCATTGAGATACCTGAAGGAAGTCAGGGGCCATCACCATCCAAGCCAAAAACTGTGGTTCTACTCACTTAGGTAGGAGTAGATGAGCCCATGAATGAGAGGTGGTGGCCAGCTAGTGGGAAAAAATGGAATGGGTGGTGGAATGAAAGGAGACAACTCATCACTTCAGGTATATATGTATCAGTCTAGATACCTATTGGTAACATATATGGCCAGTGTACATACCTGGGTGAGGGGAGGAGGAAGCAATGCATATCTTCAACACAGCATGACTGCTGACATAATCCAATGGATCTCATTACTTACATTAGGCCATGCTCCTTATAGGTTTCACATGACATGTGATCTTTGTCATGCTTACAGTCAAAGTATTTGGGCATAAAGGAGTCTCTAAGAGTAGTTGTTTTTCTCTTGTCCTCTGGTCACTGCTGGTTTCTGCAAGATATGGCTCCACTGGACAGGATATTATGGAGTTCTCCCTGCCTCCAGTGTCTACTTTCAGCTGAAATCATTCAGTTGTACATCTTCCTCATAAGTGGAAGAATAGTTTATACTTTCTTTATTCTAGCTTAAAGCTCAATGGTTTAAGCTACAGCTCTTTTAGAAATGCAAGATCCTCATAACCTTGTCCTCAAACAAGGGGGAAAAGACCATAACTGCTATGCCACACAATGAATAGACTGCAGGACCTGAAGTTAGGAAGACTTGAATTCAAATCCAGCTTCAGACACTTACTAGCTGTGTGACCGTAGGCAAGTCACTTGACATCTGAGCATCAGTTTCTTTGCTAAAAAAGGGAGGTAATAATAGCAACTACCTCCCAAGGTTGTTGCAAGGATAAAATGAGAAAATATTTGTACAGCACTTTGCAAACTTTAAAATATCATATTAATGCTAGTTTGTCATTATTATCATTATTATTATCATCATTATCATCATTGTTGTTGTTATTATTTTCTTCCCCATAAAGATAATCTTTTAGTCTTTAGAGCATTGGCTGTGATGAGTTTGCTCTCTCCAAAAGAATCCTTAACCCCAGAGAACACACTCTTAGAACACAGAGCAGTCAGTCACCAAGAATTATTCTGAAGCTTTAGGTGTACTTTTAAAAAATTAACTTCCTGCTCAAAGGGCAGCATCTCCATAAGCTGTTATGATTTGGGATCAGATAATTCTTATAACTCCTTGATCAGTATCCAGTTGGCAAGTTTCAGCCATTCAGCACAGAGGCTGGCTTCCCATAAACTACAGTATGCCATTAAGGATTGAGTCTTTTTCTCAAACTCCAGTATTTTTTTGCTGTCCCATGAAACTGAATAGGTGGGAGAAAGTCAAAAGCACAAAAATCTCTATGTAGAGCTATGTGGAGGCATGTCCCTTCTCTTCAGTCTTTAATTTAAGATTTCCGCCTTTATTATGTATATGTAACCTGTCTAATCTTTTCCTGCTTTGGGCAACACTATCTCTATCTTTTATCTCTATCTTTTTGTTTTGTTTTGTTTTGTTTTTCTGTATAACTGAATGGGAGACTAAGAAGAAAAGGAAAGGAGTAATTATAGTAATGTTAAACTAATTCACTTATTAGAGATTGGATTTATTTTTCTTTTCACCTAGAAGTTGGAGGAATATATAAGTGATATGTATTGTTTTACCTTGTGAATCAAGGTACCAGGACATGTTCAACCACCTGGTCTGATTTAGGACACCCTTTGTCTGCATTAGTGTACTCTCCAAAGAGGCAGCAGTAAACAATTTAATATTGATTCACAATCCAATTCCGTAGTCTTCAAGTAAAAAAAAATTGAAGCATAGATAGCTTAAAAAATAAAGTTCAATGAAAAGAAAAGACAATCTCAGTTTTGGTGTTTCACTTTGTTTCTCAATATGGTTGGGTGTCACTTAAGTTAAGTAATTGAATACAAAAAAATCTATCCAAAAACATATGTTACTGCAATTAAAAAATGACTATAAAAAGATTTACCCAAAGATTGCTTTAAATAGGGTATATTTAATATATGATATATATTGTATTGTATATTATAATTATATATATATAAAATAAATTTAAGTAGTGATAGTCGATTCATAGAATGTTAGAGCTAGTATAGACCTTATAAATAATCTTTCATTTTCTAGATAAAGAGACAGATTCAAAATTGATGTCTGAACCAAGGTATTGACTCCTCAGTTCTGTGATCTTTCCCCTAGACCAAGTTATAGGACAAAGAAGCATACATCTAAAGTGTTCAAAAGGACCTCCAATAGACATTGACAGAAAATTTAGGTCAATTGAAAGTAGCATTCAGTACACACAAATATTCATAGGAGCACATCTGTTATGTAAAAGTAAAGTAAGCCTATACCTCCAAATATTATGAAGGTAACAAAATACTTTGAATGAACTAGGAACTTAGATTTAAGACTTAAAGGTAAAATTTAATAATTTGCTAAAAATCATCTTTGGAAGAAGTTGGAAATCAGTTCCCAGTAAAAAAATCTGAATAAATACCTGAAGCTTTTCCTGATCCCCCAAGCTGGGTAGTACCCTCCCAAACTTCCTTGTATTTAACTACTTTATTTGTATTTTTATTTATTCTCTTTATATTTATCCTATGCATGCATTCACATCACACGTCTCCTCCATTAGAATGTAAGTTCTTTTAAAGTAAAGATTATTTCACTCATTATATTTGTCTATTTATATCCTTATCGCTAAAAACATTGCCTTGCATGCAATAAGCATTTAATAAAAGTTTGTTGATTCATTGATTGAAGTAAGATCATTGTAACCAGCCTGTTAAATTGAAAGAAAGTGCCTTATGTAATGATAAGACTGGAGATACTACCATTAGACACTGGAGGGAGAGATGCAACTTGCAGGAATTTAGTAGGCCCCAGGCCAGATCAAACACTTTGTCCCAGTCTATGGTAGAGACATAGGCACTAGCCTGGCACAGTGGAGCAAGCACTAAATTTGTTAGCAATAGAGAAATGTGTTTATGAATAAGTCACTTAACCTCCCAGAGACTGGATTGCCTCATCTATGAAATGAAAATGAAAATAATATTTGGACTGCCTATTTCACAGGGTCATTGTGATAAAGGTGCTTCAAAAACCTTAAAGCACTATCATAAATTTGATTTATTATTAGCCAGAGTATGTGGATAGTGGTATACGGTATTTATTATCACAGAGGGAATGTGGTGTAGTGGATAGAGTGCTAAAACCAGAGACAGGAAGACCTCGTTTCAAATCCCATTTCACTTACTAGCAAATAACTCTCTAGGCCTCATTTTCCTCATTTGCAAATTGAGACAGTTGGACCCAATAGTCTCTAAAGTTCCTCGCAGCCACTATAACACACGCTCTGGGGCTACTCTCCCAATCCCCACTGGTAGTGACAGACTCCCTAGATTGGTTGACTGTGATCCCAACCCTTATATTACAATACAAAAATAAAAATAGCAACCACATGTGGATCAATAGTTTCTGCATCAGTGTCTTGGGTCCCGGCATGTCTACCTTCTAACCTGTAGTACTTCAAACAATGTTCTACCAGACAGAGAGCTGGCCTTCAGTAGTTAGGGTTCCTATGCCAATAGGATCAGTTGGAACTACTTTCCCCTCCACACATATACCTTAATCCGTGTTTTTAAGGGAAAACAATGGCATTTACTATGTGCTAGTCACTATGCTAAACTCTGGGAATACAAATACAAACAAAAAGAAAGGCAGTTCCTATTGTCAAGAAACTCACAGTTTAACAAGGAAAGAAAATACATAAAAAGAAACTCAAAAGTAGAGAAAGAGAAGATGGAGATATCCAGCACAGAGAAAGTCCAAAGAGTCAGGAGGGAGTATAGGAGGGAGAAAAATGAAGACAACGCTAGTCGGAGCATCCTTCTTAAAATGGAAGTCCTAAGGTCCTAAGAAGAATCAGTCAGTCAAAAGGAGAGGCCACAGGGCTAGGGGAGACTTTCAATGTTAGAAGTCTAGGATGAAGTGAAACTTGCAAGGTAAAGAGAAAGTTTCAACATATTTCTTTGTCTTCTCTCCTCTACCACTGGATAGCTTTTTGAACTGTAATTCCTCCTCTATAAAATGAAGGGATTGGCCTAGATCAGGGTGGAGAACCTGTGGACTCAAGGTCACCTGTGGTCCTCTAGGTCCTCAAGTGCAGCCCTTTGACTGAATCCAAACTTCACAGAACAAATCCCCTTAATAAAAGGATGTCTTTTTGAAAATGTGGACTCACTCAAAAGGCCACACACAAGGACTTAGAAGGCCACACCCAAGGACCTAGAAGGCCACATGTGGCCTTGAGGTTGCATGTTCCCTACCCCTGGCCTAGATGATTTCTAATGTCTCTTCTAGCCTTCACATTCTATGAAAGATGTCCAAATAGATAGAGGGCTACTTGGCTACTTTAGATGTTTAATTTATCATAAAGATATAAAAGGGAAAATTATTCTGTGGTTTCTCAAAAGTAGGAAAGATGATCAAGAGCATAATGACAGCATCCAGATGTGCCACTCAAGTTATCCTGAAATGTGTGTGTGTGTGTGTGTGTGTGTGTGTGTGTAGCATAAATGAAGCATTTCCCAGAAACATGAAGGAAAAGGAGAATTCTCCCTTATACTATCACCCTGTATTAGACGTTCCAAATGGAAAGGAAAGTATATCAAGCAGCACATGGACCTTAATTGTGATTATGTTTTATTACTACTTAGCCTATTAAGTGCTTAAATTACCAGATAAGAGAATCTATGTTTCTAATAGTGGAAAGTGTGTTAACAGTATTCTCACTAACTGTTTCAGCCCTGTTCCAACAATCTCGTGGATGAAGGTTAATGGTTATATTCCAAGCAAAGCACGTCTGCGGAAATCTCAAGGAGTGCTGGAAATACCAAATGTACAACTGGATGATGCAGGGATATATGAATGTAGAGCTGAAAATTCACGTGGAAGAAATTCTTTCCGTGGACAATTACAAGTCTATAGTAAGTATGGTCTGCAATGATGCAGAGGCACGATTCCCCTCAACACACACCCCTTTTTATATCTCAGTTTAAATGCAGATAAAGATGATGTATTATATGTTCCTTCAGGACAGATACTGTCTTTTTTTTTGGTATCCTCAGTGCTTAACACAGTGCCTAGAACATAGAAGGTGCTTAATAAATATTTGATTGCTTTAGAAAATTCATAGTTATTTGGTGCCAAGGACATAACTTGCCTTATATCAGTTTTCATTCTCAGGTACTCCATAAGTTAACTTTACATGGAATATTGCTCTAAAATTATGACAAATGTATATGTCTTTATAAATCACAGCATTTTCCCTTAAAATAAAGGGAGATTTCTTTAGGGCCCTAAACTCTTTCCTAAATTTTGGTTGCATTTATTAACTCTTTTAGGCTTCTAGGTTAAAGGACTACAGTGTGATAAGTGATTATCTAGTAGACTGAAGCTAAAATAGTTACTGAAGGTATCAAATTTAAAATCCACCCTTGGAAAATCTGGCTTAAGAGGGAAAGGAGTGCCTACTATGTGCCAGGCACTGTACTAAGAACTTTACACGTATTATCTCATTTATTCTTCACAATAACCCTTTATCCCTGTTTTAGAGAGTTTAAGTGACTTGCCCAGGGTCACACAGCTAATAAGTATCTGAGGCTGGATTTGAACTCAGATATTCCTCACTCCATGCCCAGTAATCTTTCCACTATATTACTATCTCTAAAGAGAAACCATTTTTCTTTCTGTTTTTAGTCTGGCCTATTATTTCTTCAATGTGGGAAACTCCTACTATAGAAACACTCCCCTAGAAATTGTCTCTCTCTTTATATATATATATATACACATTCCTATTAAACATATTTTCACATTAGTGATGTTGTAAGGAAGAATTAGAACCAATAACAGGAACCACCAGAAAGAGGAAACAAAACAAAACAAAAGAAAAAAAGTAGCAAGTAATATGCTTCAATCTGCATTCAAACTCTATAGTTCTTTCTTTGGATGTGGATAGCATTTTCTATCATGAGGCCTTTGGAGATATCTTAGATCCTTGCATTGCTGAGAAGGGCTAAGTCTATCAATGTTAGTCCTCACACAATGTTGCTGTTACTGTGTACAGTTTTCTCCTGGTTCTGCTCACTTCACTCAGCATCAGTCCATACTAGTCTTTCTAGGTTTTTCTGAAGTCTGCCTGCTCATCACTTCTTATAGCACAATAGTATTCCAATACATTCATATACCACAACTTGTTCAGCCATTGCCTAATTGATGGGCATCCCCTTAATTTCCAATTCTTTGCCATTACAAAAAGAACTGCTATAAATACTTATTTACATGTGGGTCCTTTTCCCATTTTTATGATCTCTTTGAGATTCAGGACTAGAAGTGCTATTGCTGGATCAAAGGGTATGCATATTTTTATAGCCCTTTGGGCATAGTTCCAAATTGCTCTGCAAAATGGTTGGATCATTTCACAACTCCACCAACAATGCATTAGTGTTCCAATTTTCCCACATCATCTCCAACATTTGTCATTTTCCTGTTTTGTCATGTTGGCCAATCTGATTGGTATGATGTGGTACCTCAGAGTTGTTTTGATTTGCATTTCTCTAATCAATAGTGATTTAGAGCATTTTTCATATAAATGTAATATAAAATGTAACTTATAAAACATAACATGTATATAAATCATATATGTATATAAATCATATAAAATATGACATAGTCTTAAGAGAGTTGTCTGGAACAATAAAAGATTAAATCATTTATTCATAGTCATGTAGCTAATTGTCAGAGGTAGGCTTTGAACCCAGGCTTTCCTGAATCCAGGACAGACCCTCTATCTACTACATTGTACTGTATACTGTAACACCACAAACCACAGCACTGAAAACCAAAATACTGAGTGTGGTATAGTAGAGAGGGAGGCATTTCTGAAGCTAGGAAGACCTGGGTTCAAGTCCTGCCTCTAATACATGCTAACCATGTGACCTTGGGCAAATCACTTAAACTTTCAGTACTCTATGCAAGTTTCTAAGACTATAATTTGCTGAGAAAGTTCTAGCTAGCATTAGAAGAAGATTCCACACCTGGGAGTTCCCTACATCAATAAAGTTATAGGTCTATACCAACAAATCTTTTTATTCCATTTGTCACATCAATTTTTTGCAATGTTTGTTACTCACTGGGGATGGGGAATGAAGGTAGGAGCAGGTCCAGAATACCAGCTCCAATGCTTACTACCCAGATGACTTCAGTCAAATGACTCAGCCTCTGCAGCCTTCAGATTCCAATCCAATAAACATTTCTTAAGTGCCTACTACATGCCACACACTGTGCTAAGTACTGGGAATATAGTTAATAAAAAGAAAAACAGTCCCTGCCCTCAAGGAGCTCACAATCTAATGTAGGAAGACAATACACAAAAGAAGGCAGAAAGGGTTTGATGAGACCAGGGGTACTCAGCATGGGAATATATTGTTCTATGGAGTTGAAACCAGGCACAGCAGCAGATGCACAGTGGAGTGAGCCAAAAATTCTAGTTTCTGCCTTCTATAAAGAAAGACATTGGGAGGCATTTGGTACTCCACCCTCCAGCCCTTCAATCAGAAGGGAAGGAGGCTGAGGGAGGTAGTTCAGGTCAAGACTTGAGTTAGCATCACGGTGATGAAATTAGCTGTGATGAGCTAAAGTGGGGATAATAATGCTTACATTATGTACATCACACAATTAGGAGGTTTTTAGAAGCCTTGGTGTGCTTAGGAAATTGGAATTGTTATTATTAGCGATACTCAAAAAATCTGAAGGATGCCTAAAAAATAATCCAGTCAAGTCAATGAGCATTTATTAAATGCCTGCTAAGTGCCAGTCATGGTGCTGAGCTGGGGGTAGAGGGAATACTAACATAGGCAACAACAGGCCCAGATCTGGAGGGGCTCATGGTCTCACAGACTAATTGAGAGACAGCATGCAAACAATTATGTAGAAACAAGATACATACAGAATAATTAGAGAAAATCAGAGGGAAGGCACTGACATTAAAGGAGATCAGGAAAGGTTTCTTGTAGGACAGCAGTGGCAAACTCAAATAGAAAGGGGGGCAATTAATCTGTACATAAGGATCCCTGTAGGCCATATATTAATTTATTTTATTGAATGAGATAGAGGGTATGACATGACCAGACTTGACTTAGAAATATAAGTCTGACAGCTGAGTGGAGGATAGAATGCAGAGGGGAGAAACTTGAGGCAGTGAGGCCAACAAGCAGGCTATTGTAATTATCCAGGTGTGAGATAATGAGGAGATGGCCCAGAGTAATGGTGGTGTCAAAGACAATAAGGAGTATATTTAGAGAGATTCCAAGGGTAAAATCAGTAGGACTTCAAAATAGGTTAGACAAGATTGGAGGTGAAGACAGTGAGGAGTCATGGTTATCAGCGTAGGTGATTTGGACGATGGTGGTACCCTTAACTAATAGAAAAGTTAGAAAGGGGGAGGGTTTGGGAAAAACAATTATGAGTTCAGCTTTTGACATGATGAGTTTAAGGTGTCTATGAGACATCAAGTTTGAGATGTCCAAAAGACTGTTGGAGATATGTGGGGAGGTCAGGAGACAGGGTATGTAGATCTAAGAAATATTGCCATAGAGATGATAGTTGAATAAATTGGTTATAAGGTCTGATGAGCTAGCCAAGTGAAATAGTATAGAAGGGAAAGAGCAGAGGGATCATGACAATATCTTGAGAAATACCCTGAGTTAGTGGTATTGACTTGGATGTTAAGTTCAGCAAAGGAGACTCAGTTCAGTTGTTGTTCAATCATTTTTCAGTCATGACTGACTCTCTGTGACCCCCATTTGAGGTTTTCTTAGCTAAGATATTACAGTGGTTTTCCCTTTCCTTCTCCAGTTCATTTTATAGATGAGGAAACTGGGGCAAAGAAGGTTAAGTGACTTGCCCAGGGTCACACAGCTAGTAAATGTATAAGGGCAGATTTGACTCATAAAGAGGAGTCTTTCTGACTATAGGTTCTGCACTCTTTTCACTGTGCCACCTAGCTGCCCAGTAAAGGAGAATAGGTGTTGAGAAATAAGTAAGTCAAGAAACTAGGAGGTTAACATGTTTGAGAGAATGTCAACATGTGTGTTAATTTGTCTAGCATAAAGGCAAGATTTAGGAAGGTGAAAAAAAGGAGGAACTAAGCACTGAATTTGTTGAGGAAAGAAGGAAAATGTCCTGGAAGTCTGTAAATAACAGCTACCAGAATTCTGATTTTTCCAATCCATTCATCCTACAGATCAGGAAACACAAGTCCATAGAAATTAAGAAACTTGTGCAAAGTCATACAAGTAGTAAGTGGTAGGTCCAGGAGTCAAATCTAAGTCTTCTGACTCCAAATCCATTACTCTTTCCACTGTACCACATCAATGACCTCTTTTTTTTTTCCTGTAAGATTTATATTCTATCCATTTTGCCATTGGAAAATAGTGTCCAGTTGTCATTTGCCTCATAATCAGCATTCTTAAACATTTAGATATACTTTCTTCAAGTAATCTCATATTTAATATATGGCTTCTACTTGTCCCTCCAATCTTATTTCTCACAGCTCAATATTACCCAAAAGAATATTTCTATTCAAGCTAACTTGGCCTACTTACTATGTATTAAATTTGCTGAGCATATATTTGCTCCCTATCTTTGCTTATGTCACTTACTTTATCTGGAGTTGCAATCATTTACTTCAGTACTCTCCATTTATTTTCCTTTTATCTTTCATTCAGTAAATCTAGCACACATGTACACACACAATACACATGTGTATACATATATGTATACACACGTGTGTATGCATGTATGTGTACACATGTATGTACGTGTGTGTATCACTTATATGTGCAAAGCATAGTCCCTTCCCTTAAAGGAGTTTATAATCTTTTTCTTTGATGAAATATTTAAGACCTTCCTCCTCTAAAATTGCCTG